CTAATTAGTGATTCTTTTCTTTGATAGTGTACAACATAACAACAACAACAAATTACTGCAAAACTACCCCTGGAATAATCCAAAAGGGTACTTCGTTTTTCTCGGAAATGCTATCAGCTCCATCTCATAAATATCTCCCATCTCTTCTCTCCTCCTCTTTTTAGTCAACCGTTCAAAACGTTGAGTCCAGTGTGGAAGTGGCCAGCTACCGGAAAGAGATCGAAAGTGCCCGGAAAGAAATGCAGATCGTAAGTTTTGCTGATATCTTCCTCTTCTTGCCGTTTGCCGACTCTGGGAGTGTCATTAGATCGTCGCCCGTTGCGTATTCTATTTTGATTCATTTCCCCACTAAATTTATGTATTCGCATTTGTTTGAAATTATTACAGGTTAAAAATTTTCCCAAGCTGTCCTGTTGATAGACCCGATATGCATATTCATCCACATCAGCCGAAAACTTGATTATCTAGGTATCGTGACTTGACTTGATTTGTCTTACATCCCTACGAAATGCTATGTCCAGCATGTAACCCAAAATCGCGAACTGTTGTAGTTGTCAACAGCGAGGAGCAAATGACGTAGCAAAAGGTCTCGGCGTGACCCGAGAGCGGGCCCCAAAAACTATATATGAGATGGGAGAACAAGCCCTCTTTCCCTTAGCGCTAGTTCGACGGCAAATCAAGCTGAACAAAGAGAAAACAAGGGACAAACTAGCCGATGAATAACAGTCTATAAGCAAACGGGTATAAACAGAACACCCACGCTTGACAAACATTGAAGATGTCAAATCGACTGGTGACAAAATGTTTGCAAACGTATTACCAAGCCCGACAAATAGTGAAAATCAGTTCATTCCACCCGAGCTTCGTTGGCCATCAGCAGTCTTTATGGCTTATTCATCACGTGAACTCAACCACCTGAGAAGGCGCCTTAAATTACACCGTGCAAGCAACTGTGTTTTCGTAGCCACGTGTGCAATGAAAGATTCTGTAGAAAATGATTGCGGTAAATCTTACAAGATTATGATCAATACTAGCGATGATTGAAATAACAGCGATGGAATAACGTGTTCATCTTTTGGTGATGCCGGTTATCTGTCTCAATGACATGAGTTCGAACTGATATCCGTTTCACTGAATTGGGCTGTGTTCTACAGTCTACGCATAAGTGCGTATCAAAAGATATTATATTTATTAATGTTTATTAACCTTACTTTCAATCAACGTCAGTAGTGCTCATTTCTGTACGGTTTTCCTCAGCGTGGCTACACTGAAGCACTTTCTCGTTTAGTGTTCACTAAGATATGCTCGTTTTCATGTCTTATTCGGTCGGCCGTGTTGTTTTGATCAGCCCAAAATACATTTTCGGGCTTTTCTTTATCCTCTGCTTCGTCTCATGCATTACGTTAAACTTTCTTTCACATTCTGTTACTACTCGTGAGTAGTACAACTGGGAATCGGTTACTGTATGTTCTAACGTTAAGTGAACCACAGACCTTGTCTATGGATATCCCTATTCGTGTGACGACCAATTTGCTCCAGAAACACAAAGGTGTAAGTTATCTCAAATTCTCTTATCATTTTTGAAATTTGCCTGAATTATGTGTAAAGCTCTTCACCCTGAGAAAAGATAAGTATTAATTAAAGGTCATTTTGTAGTGTCCGGCATTACATCGAGCGTACAGCTTGTAAATCAGTCATTGTGCTCTAAAGGAAAATGAGGTGCCAGTTTAGCACAAAACAAGATTAAGGGTAAAAATACCACATATTACTTCATTTCAAAATGAGTCCTTAAATTTTACTTCAAGGAGTATACGTGTCCCATATCTTCCTAACCAACTTTTTTCACCGTGTGCATCTTGTTCAACAAATGCCCTGCCTGTGAGATACCTTTGGCAAGATCACTGAATCCCACTATGTGTCTCCAAGATGAGTGTGTTATGTAGTAGTTAGAGGTTAGAGGGACATTTTTAATTAGTCACGCCACAAGCACTTGACCTGCTTTGGCTGGGATGTATTACACATTTCGCTGGTGACACATTCTTGGAGTACTACGTTTGCCTTGAGGCTGATGAACCCAGACCCGGTATGAGAGTAAGAACCACCTGGCCGGGTGGACTCAATCAAAACGTTGACATGAAGCTTCCCGATAGGACACTCCGTTTTGATAAATCAAATCATTAGCTATGTACACAGTGAGTGATATAGTGAGCGTCTTTCACAGCCGTGTATTTGCATTTGCTCTTTTTCGACGTAGATCCAGTTTGATTACTTAATATAGTTTTACCTTCACAATACTATAAACTTTTTGAATGTTCTTATTATTCGACCAAGTGGGTAACCAAAACGCAGCGACCAGAACCCGACACGCTGAACTACAAACACAAGGATTGTGCAAGACTACAACGTCTATCTTTATGAAAGCTTTATTTAATTCAAATTCAAAACCGGAAACCCTTATTATTGTTGCCTCTTTCATCGGAATCCGGTTTATGTCAATAATATATTATTTGCAGTGCTTCTGTTCATCCTATAAAAACACCTGAATGGTTTGCACGCTCGAAAGTACTGACTCAACTTTTCTTCAGTTTGTTAAAAGGTTTCATTGGTTGTCACGTACCTATTTTGAAAACATGCCGTAACAGGATCACCAGATAAATTAGTTCAAATCTTGATTTGAATTCTGAATTAGACTACTATTTGTTCATGTTCAACAGTTACGTAATAATCTTGGACAAGCCGAAAAGATTCGTGAACGTCTGGTGAAAGAGAATCGCGAGCTCCAGGAGGAACTCAAACTACGTGAGGACTCCATTTTCGATCAGGACGATGAGATTGAGAAACGCAACGCCGAGCTACGCACAGTCAAGGCCAATTTAGAGGCAGTACAAAAAGAGGTGAGTAGTTGGCATATTGGTTTATTCACATGTTCAGCGAAAGACAACCCCAGTTATTCGCCGCATTTCCACCTAATCTCTTACTGAATGCTTCATTCTTTACGTTCACTAGTTGGAACAAACGAAACGCGAATTCTCTGCTGCAAAGCAACGTGAATCGTCCAGCTCCTCAGGACGTCTGAGTGCTCAGATAGCTCAGAATGAGAAGATTAGAGCAGATCTGCACGAAACAACAAGGCAATTAAACGGTAAGTCATTGTTTACGAATCCTGGGTGCAATACGCACTATTGTTTACAAGAAATCAGAACTGACTATTCAGCCGATCAAACAGTCAGTCTGCTACTGTCAGTTAGTCAGTTCTTTGCTTTATTCTCACGCGTAGGCACTAAACAAACTCGTGCGACATCATGACTGTCACAAAATCTAGTCATATCAATGTATCATATATGAGTAAACCAATTTATGTGGTGTCATCCCGCACCACACACTATATTTCTATTACAGTATCCACTTATACAGTTAATTCTTCCAGTGGAATGCCTTATAAACGCGTAATTTCTTTATTTCGACGACGGTTGGCATCGAAACAGTTGTAGGTTAACCGACCATCTATCAAAACAATTGTTAGGACATATACTAATGACAGATGTGCATAATACAGATGTTGCAATTTTGCTTTCTAAATAACCTGCATATCCTACTTTCTCCTTCAGTACTTGTCAGTCTGTTTGGGGGTGGAGTTCACTAACTTGGCCATCAAATCGCAACTGTTAGTTTCCTCCCGTTTCGTGGTATACATATATATTCCCTTCATTTGCGTGAACAGTTTATAGACACCGTTTTCCAGCGTAATTAAGATAAAAGATCACTTATCGCAATATGTCATATATATATATATATATACAGTACTGGCCGATTGTGATGCACTAAAATATTTTCTTTATGATCAAAGGGAGTTTCATTATATTTATCACCCATATTATTGCTTTAGGTATGGACAATAATTTATATCTTGTCTACTTCGATGTGCGTAGTTTCTGAGCTGCATGATTGTCAATTAAACGTGCCTGACCTTGAGTGCCAAGAATAAATGATCTGAATATGAGAATCGCAAACTGTATCAAGTGTGACA